TTATTCAGTTGGTAGTGGTAACCTTGTCGGTCACGTAGTAGTTTAGCTCCTGTTTTCTTGATTCAGAAGTAACTAGACAGCATGGTGGCCTTGTCGGCCCGCATAGGTTCCCTTTTGTTGATGTGGTTTTGGTTAGCTGTTGTGGTTTTACAGGTGGCTATAGGCCTAGCCGGTCGGGGGCTGTATTTACAGCCGTTATATAGCCCGTTCGTCCCATGAATCAGAATTAGAGCCAGTCAGGCACCAGAAGTGTTTAGGCTCAGCAGTCTAGCAGTTTGAGTCCTAGTAGGGCACCAGGTGCCAGTCATACCCCCTAAGGCGGGGCGTGACACACATATTCCATCATATCGACATCTTTAATAGTCTCTCCACATAGTTTCAATTGAGACACAATTTTGAACATGGTAGAGTTGTACTCATAAACAGACGTATAGTATTGAAACCTCAGATGCATCCAATCATATCGTGCCTTTGGATGGATGACCATCTTTAGGTGGCCATAACTTTCTTTCAGGCTATTCCACAAAATAAGTGGATCCTTAATCATGAGATATTCAATTTTCAGAATTTCTTCAATATGATGACGCAAGAATATCATAGTCTTAGTATGATTTTGGTTTGATGCTTTGTTTTCACTTTTAATAGTGTCTCCAAGACCCATTGCATCCAAATGGATTTCAGCATCTAACACTCATGAAAGGTAGTTCTTGCCCGAACTTTGAAGAGAAACGAACTTAGGTTTCGTAAGTTTAGCCATATTAAAAGGAAGAGAAAAATAATACCTTAGCCTTCAAATTTTGAGACGGTAGAGTCGTAGAGAAACAATATCACCAAAGGAATATCACTCATATGGTTAAGTAATACATCTTTTGAAAAAGAAATTTTAATTTTTCTTACTTCAGATCTTTCAAAGTGGGTGCTCAAAGCAGAGACTCGTGCTGATAATGTGTTATGAAATAATAAAGAAAGAACAAGAATATTATAGAGAAATAGAGAAGGAGAGAAGTTCATATTTCTTTTGATAGGATGAAATACAATGAAGGAGAACCCCTCTATTTATACGGATAATTTCTCCTAACTTTTCCCCAAAAGTGTCACGCCCCGCCTTGGGGGGTATGCCTGGCACCTGGTGCCCTACTAGGACATGAACTGCTAGATTACTGAGCCTAAGCACATCTGGTGCCTGGCTGGCTCTAACTCTGATTCACGGAATCAACGGGCTATATACCGGCTGTAAATACAGCCTCCGGCCGACTAGGCCTATAGCCACTTGTACAACAACAACAGCTAACTAGAATCACATCAATATAAGGGAGCCTATGCGGGCCNCACAGGAAACCAACTTCGAGCAAAGCCTAATTTGCGCTTGCCCGCCACTTGTA